ATACATACACATATATATATATATATATATATACATACATACACACACATATATATATATACATACACACATATACATATATATATACATATACACATACACACACACGCATACGGGTGTGTGTGTGTGTGTGCGCGCGTTTTCTATATATTGTTTAGAAAGAAAATGTATCTCATTTGATATTCTCTTAAAAATATGTAGCGTATAACGAAATACTGTAGATATCAGGTCAATGTAAACCAGAAATTTAAATAACAAAAATGCTTAAGCGTCTTAATTACAGGTAAGGCTCTCTATCCACAATGGCGCAGTGACTTTCCAGATGTGAGTATGAAAACGTATTTCCGAGATATATTTACGTATTTAAATTGCTGTAAACATTGTTCACTGTAATATCATGTTCTGCTGGGAATTATATGTCTAGAAACAACGAAACGGAGTCCAATAAAAACATTAAAAATTTATGTACATTATGTATATGGATGAATGTATTCTTTAAATGTAATAATTTTTGTGTTGCATCGAAAGTACGTTCTTGAACAAATTATTGTGCATGTATTATTAAAGTGTATTTACTATTGAATTAAAGGCTAATATGTCATTGTTTCTTAATCTAAATAAAAATCGTGTTATGAACTGTTCTTTTTGTTTCTTTTTTCAAAGCAATTCATTTCATAGGATGAAAGCCTTTTTAACAGTATATATTTAATACATTCCCTTCTCTTCGAGTGAAGTTTGTGATACTATTAAAAGTCGACATGCAGCTGTTACTGTTAAACAGAGAAAGCTAATTCCTTTTTCATTGGGGGATCAAAGATCTTTATCCCTGTTTATGAATATTCTTTATGAATATTGAATTGCACCACATTCGGGTTGTACAAAACAAGAAAGTGTGTAGCCTGTAAAACATTATATATAATGTTTTACACACACACACACACACACACACACATATATATATATATATATATACTATTCATATAAAACATATACTTATATATATATAGAGAGAGAGAGAGAGAGAGAGAGAGAGATTTACAAGAATTAGACTTTTTATATTTGGTTCTTCCCGATGGAAGTTTTCCCTGCGAAGATAATGTTTTTTTAACAGGTACTGATTTCTGATAATTTTTTGAGGGTCGTTACATGCACTGTGATGTAAACTGTGCTAAAATTGCAATTAAAAGAATAAAGAAAAGTCGTCAAAACGACTTTGAAAAGTGAAACACAAGATGTCCTCTTCAACCGCGTAGGCCTCTAGTGTGTTCGCTTTGAAACGAGTAAAAAAAGGGCAGGGGATTCGATGGGTATTCCGTGCCTTTTTGGGAACTTAAACCACCATAAAACATATTTCCAATTTAAAGCGACCCGCTTTTTAACCGTTTCCCCTCACCAAACAGGCGTCCACCCGCAGAGGTCTATGGAAATTTATGGTTGATGCATGTAACGTTTTAAAGACATTTATAAATCAGAGAGTGGTAATCGCAAAACACATCAGCATTATATTAAATTTTAATATCACGAAAGACCATACAAATGACTAGTGTGGGCATCAGTGGCGATTGTATTTACAGCTTTTCATCACGTACAGGAGTGCGGAAGTAAGTATAATCGTACAAAGAGTGTTAATAGGCCCTGTCCAAAGTCCGCAACTGTATGCATGAAGTACAAACAGCAATGAACAACTGAATCGTTCAGACCACACACACTGGAAACTCTATATGTCTTGTCACTTCCAACTTTCTAATATTTTATCAAATCTGATGGGACAAAACGTGTCTCATTTGTATTTTTGAAGTTATTGGAATAGTGAGAATTATTTGCCGGATGGGACAAGTATAGGCCTAATAGAAAAATTTGACTATTGACATTCTCTTGATATTTTGAATGCAAATATGTTAGAGTAAACTTGTGAGTCTTGTTTTTAACAGATATTGCGAAAATGTTCTGTGGAATTATGGTGACTTCTACGTAAAAATGAAATCCAGATTGTATTTACAAATCCACAGTCTTTATGCTGACGCCTCCGCCATTTTCCTTGTTGTCAGCTAAGAGCTCAATCGAAAGAGTTCCATTCCACCCTTGCTTTCCGTTTTGCAGATATAACTACCCTATTCTACTCGGAATAAATAGGATAGCCACATAATGAAAAACGTCTTACAACAAACAAACAGTTTGTTTAGGTAAGCCTCATGTATGAGTCAAACCAACCCCACGGCAAGAAATGCAGATTTTATGACCATTGTTCAAAAGTCTACGAGCTGATTGCTTCGGTTTGGTGGCGACAGTATCTCCGGCGTTTGATAGGTGGACGTTCCAAGTTCCTGCTCCTCAGTGTGACGAAGCAAGAGAGAGGAATTCAGCAAATTAACTACGTCACCGAGCCAGGGCCAAGGTTGGTGGGTGTGACAAGAAGACAAGCCTTCCAGCCTTGATCCCTAATGCCCCCCTTCCCCTCCCCACCCGCCATTTCTCTCCCACAGTTCTACAAGCAAAGATCACTGGCAATGAATCCGCTGCACTAACACATCACACACACATACGTCTCTATTTTCGGAATTTACAAAGGGACGCATGTGTTGTGTTTCAATGCAGCTAACTGTTTTTAAATCTCAGCAATAAATCAGTACACCAATTCAGCGCGCAAGGACCTCCCCTCCGTTTTCTATTCGCGTTCGAGCATCAATGCATATATACTCCGATCTCTGTTTTAAATCCGTCAGAAATCTATTTCCTGTTACCCGGGAAAAGTCACAACCAAGCAATCTTGAATGTGCTAAAATGTCATAAAATATTTCATGCATGAAAATATTACATTTTACAGAGACAATAAAGTGTATTTAATGGGAGTGCTAAAACTGGAAAAGTTACCTGCTGTAGTTTAACGCGAGAGGTCAAAGTGTTGCTGCTTAGGCATTCCTTGGTCCTTTCCCACTTGCGCTGATTGGTTCTGTTCTGTTCACCACGTTTCCTGACAAAAGGGGCTCCTTGATTCCGCTTTATTGCAATAGGTTAAAGGTGAAGGCCTTGACATTATTGAAGTTCAAAGACAACTTTTAATTATATCTTTTCCTTCATACGCATAAGTGCCAACAGCACACTTGCACGCCTTATGAGCCCACATGTTGTGACAACATTCGTGTAGCGTGATCACATATAAAACTGCACATGGGGACAACATGCAATACCCCCAACCCCTGTGAGCATACACCGCAAAATAAATATCTCACTTCTGTTCTGTTTGTCTCTTAGAATGCAAGATGCGCGCAGCTCAGCTTCTTCTGAAGAGATGATTACATGTGAACGAACTACACTCGGCGATATCATTTGATAGGTTTCTTGCATCTATAGGCAATAAGTCGGACTTTCTTGTTTACTATTTACTGCGGAAGTGAACACAATTCCCCTCGAACAGACGGTGCAATTAAGTCGGGAAAAAAGGCAATTTAGGGCTCTGGCTTTATTGCAGTGTCTAGACTAAAAGAGTGGCGATTCCATTTAGAAGGTACTAAAAGACGTTACCGAAATGCTCTCTACATTTTTTGACGTGTTTCATGCATCCCTTTCCTGGTCATCATCATTATTAGTATTTTCTCATTTTGATAAATCTACTACAGACAAAAAGTTTTATTTAACATTCCTAAAATTCTGCTAAAAAATCTAAATATTAAACATTTATTAGCCAGTTTTTATTGCAAAACAACAATAGCTTAACATTGATAGACTTGAACTAACGTGTGAGAGGGAGACGATGAACTGAGAGAGATAGAGCAAGAGAGAGATAGAGAGTTTTCATTACTTGGCAGTGGTCAGTTTATTATATCTTCTCTTAGATCTCTGTTTTCACTGCAGTGTAGTTATACACATTCAACATTTTACTTCACCATAGATTACCTTATGATTTTTTTTAAATCAAGTCACAGTTGACATATATCAGTTTACCTTTATTTGTGTTTATTTTTGATTAATATGTAGTACACAGGCCAAATCGGATCGCTGAGCTATCCCTCCGAAATAAATGAGAACTTTGGGCGTACAGCAAATAATTTAAAGAATCGAACGACAAAGCTCACAAGGCTGCAAAGGCAATGTAAAGAAAAATAGCAGCAGGGATAGGGTGAGGATACTCAAAATAACATTATATTTACATTCACGAATGCACAATGCATAATCTCTGTACAAGGAATACAATATTACAGATTGTACAAGTCACAGTTCTAAATGCTGAAAACATAAAAAAGTATGACATCTCCAGATTCGAACCAGAGTCGAGTGTATGTGTTTTAATGTACATATATACAACCATAAAAGGATAGAGGGTACAATTTTATAATATATTATAGTAGGCTATTTTGTGACTATTTTCAAAGTGATGATTTTTAAACAAAACTTGTGAGGTGTACGTTTGAGTTTTTTGAATCACAAACTAGAAATGCCGGTTTAATTTGACATTAAGTAAATTTGCATTCTCTCTCCCCACCTTCAGCTATTACAATCAAACAAGTCTAACAGTTTTTAGTACTGTTGCTGGCCGTAACAAACACATTTTCTAATGATTTAATTAGCTTGAAGGGCATTTTTAGACATACGTAATTTTAGTTTGCAGAGATATTAAATAAAAGGCAACGCCATTTCAACAATTACAACAACGGATTCCCAGAGAAATACTGCAAGCGATCTCTGCTTAATTTCTTTTCTTTCATTCTACGATTTTGAAACCATATTTTGACTTGTCTGTCAGTAAGGTTTAACATTCTGGACAGCTGCAGCCTTTTCTCCTTGTTGATGTAAACGTTAAAGAAAAATTCTCGTTCCAGTTCACGAATCTGAAACTTGGAGTATGGACATCTCTTCTTTCTTGTGCGCGGGATACCTTGGGATAATCAAAAGAGACACTTTAAATGATCACGTTATAAGACATTTTTTTCCTGCAATAACACAATGAGATGTTTATAAATGCACAGCACATTTATTTATATTTTTTTCTGGAAGACGATTTTGTCATTTCCAGTGTGTGATTTCATTTAAGGTTACAGATGTGAGGAAGCAGACCCAACTATGCATGTCACTCCGTTGCAAAACTATAACCGTGGGTAAATAGTAGAACAACTGTAAATATAGGGTAACTTTTTTTAAACAAACTGCTAAACTCTGCAAAACCCTAAACAAATAAAGTATTATCAATAGATAACAGGCAACTTTTTTAGTACTTGGAAGTCTAAAGTAATTTTAATTTACTGTATATGTATTTTTCCTATTTTTGTATCATATTAGTTAATAAATGTGTTTCGCAAATTATAGAACCCTTGACCTTATACACGTAATATGTTCTTTATAAAAAAATAAAAATACTGTGGGCCTGGGGCAGTGTCTCCTGTGAATGGCCGTGAATGCTAGCTTCTCTTCTGCAAACTATACTTACAGTTTAAAACGCGCCGCAATGACAAAACAGCAAAAATAAAAAATATCCAGTGGTGTTTTCTGAAAGGTAATTACGACAGTTCTGATTGGCCTTCATGTTTAGGCTACTTTTGGGCAAACTTTACATTGCAACATATTTCCAAAAGGTGAAATGCCTCTTTAAAAATTCTTTCATTTATAGATATATAGATAGATAGATAACTGGTCTTATCTGATACAGTCATTAGCACCGGGCAAGCACTAACATTGTATGGCCATTGACTATGCTGGCTACATCAACCCCACGGTAACAAGTCACAGCCCGTTTAAAAGCTAATAAGGACTTAGCTAGTTTACATTCGAGCTGCTAAAACAAAATTCACAGTATGCCAAAAGTAATGTTCTGCCCAATTGGTTTTTACCCCCGACAGCTAAACGAGAAAATCCCTTGCAATGCTCAACGCAAGTTCATGATCAAAGTTAGCATTTGTCACAATAGCGCGCTCTTAAAATTTCACAGACTCTGGGATAGTAGCGTCTGTGTATAACATCCTCTTTTTTCAAAGCGCTTTCCCATCGTAAAAATTCTTTTCGTTGGAGGAAAGAGCTTTGTAGGTTATAATAAAATCCTTTGAATGCTTATAAAACTCCACATAAAATCTGACCGACAAAACACCGGGCTAGTCCCTTAACCTTTCCCCATTTACAGCTTCGGTACCTACTCGAATGGCTGCTCTTGCTTGCGTTGCCGTCCTTAGTAGCTGCTGAAGTGCACGAGCCCGAATTTGTATGTTCCTCCTCATCCTCTGCGTCCTTTTCCGGCTCCTGCGCTGCGGAAACAGCTGTGGGTTGCTGGGACGAAGTCTCTAATTTGTTCATCTCGCTCTTTTGTAAACAATGTTCTGACTGATTGTCCGTGCTACAATAGGCGGTTTCAAAAAAGCGGTCAAAACCTTGAGGGAGCACGTTGCTTTTCCCTACGCCGGTGTAGAAACCAGTGGACGGGTGGCTAGAGTTCGGATGATGCTGGTGGTGGTGGTGGTGGCTGTACACACTCTCGTTTTTCATGAGCATTTCTGTCATGGTGGATGGCGGAAGACAGTCTCTGTGCACCAGATCTTCTCCTGAGTAGCACGATGCATAGTTGGTTCTGTGGTGCCACTTGCTGGAGGGGTCCAGACCATAAGAAACATCTCGCACTGGTTGCACTTGAGATAGATTTGTGGAATAGGGGTATGTGATTTGTCGCGAGGGCCCCTGTGGAAGGAACGAAGAGACGGCGGAAAATTCGGGAACGTAGTAGGTGCAGCTGGGGAGGTAGATGTTGGAGGCACAGCCAGTCCTGTCCCCAAACTCGGATGTCCGGTCTTTACGCGTCTGGGAGCAGAAGTTGCCCAGATTAACAGAGTTAAACATCTTTCTCCTGTAGTCCGTACTACAGATATGATGTTTTGGATTCGAGCTGCAGAAGGAGAAAATTTGGGAAGGCGAGATGACGCGCAATCCGTCTAAGTCGCCCCGCAACACGTGATCGAAAGTAGATATTGTCATATATCAATTTGGAACACATGGATGCGTAGGAGTGGTTCAGCTGGGTAAGATCTGTGAGATTCAAACGATTAATTTTCAAATCATGCAAGACAATGTAAAACAGTAACACCTTTTGGTTGTTGTTTTAAGCGAGTTTTGTAAGAACGAAGATATGTATTTTCTATTTATGTGTACGTGTGTTGGAGCCTCTGTAGGTACTGAGTAACGCTGATTTTATGAGTCTGAGACAACACATTGTGTTTTCATGTATATCGCAGCATGTATGTTTTAATCTATGTCTTTCGCATGTAACCAAACTATTAAAACTTTAAAAGAACGACTGTTAAATATGACTGGTACGATTTATTTTTGTGTTGATTGCTGCACTGCTTATATTCAAGGGACGAGTTTTAGCGCATTGTCAAGTTGCTTTTGTTCAAGTGCATATAATTTTTATGACATTCCATGTCATATTATATATAAACATATATGCTTTAAATACATAGAGCATATATGTTTATAGGCTACATGGTTTGATAAGCAAATGTGCCTTATAGATGTCACGTGTACGCTCCACCCAGTTCTTGAATATAATAATAGAACAATTGTGAGTTTGTCTTTTTTGTTGAGATAAAAACATTAGGAACTTGTGCAGAAAATGATTTATGAATCTACCCGGAAATTTCAGCCATTGCTTGTATAAACACAAAGTTAACACTGATCTATGTTTACGTTTGGATGTGGTTTAATTTTCAATTGGGAAAAACTTTTCTCTTGGTTTAAATCAACGAAACTACAAAATAGTGCTATGAATGATGCCACCTATGATTCAAGATGACTTTGTGGCGAATGTAAAAAAAAAAACAATTATTTCGAATGAAACAAAATAAATAAATAAAATTATGTGTAATGTACTATTGTGTTCAAACACCACACGTTTCGCCATTTAACGTGTAAAGTACGTCAAATGATCCCTTGGATATTTTAAATCTCTGAGACCATTTTATGAGAGGCATCTGTTTAAGGCAAAACATGCTATCCAGCTTCAATATGTACCCTCCAGCGTCTATTAAACTAAGCCTAAAAAGTTTTGTTTTTGGAGCAGAATGTTGAAAATATTGCTTTTAATTTAAAAATCCTTTTCAATATTGAAAGATCTATAGTAACTATCTGTATTCTAACATTCTACTAACATTGCAGGGCATGCTAATCTTCTCAAATTTTAAACTAAATGTAATTCGTGAAATAAACTATAATAATAATAAAATGAATTCAGCATGTTGCACTCATTTAAAAATATGTATTTATTTTTAATTAACTATTAGTTCATATGTGCATATCTAAAGATCTAATGACCGGTCAGGAAAACTTTTCACAAAGCATCCCATAGACTAATAACATTTACCATTGTTTATGTTAACAATTGTTTTAATAGTTTCTCTTCAAAAAATATTATTTTTATAGGTCTATAATGTATTCAAAACATACATTATAGACCTATAAAACATACATCCCCCCCCCCCATTAACATATACAAACTATCACCGATAGTGTAAAATAGTCATATCAGCTACACTGGACGTCGCAACTAAAACGTTAGTTGTCTTTTTAAACCGCATTTTACTATATTGATCGCGTATTTGTGTTAAAGGTATGTGGCAATGACTTTATGAGTCTCTGAACTGAGCCCTCTCAAAATTGACAAAAGGTTGGTGTGCAATATGCCTTCAACCAAGTACAAAGAAAGCAGACAGCTGCCCAGACCCAGCACTTGAATTTGACCACTAAAATACTCACTGCGGCCGCCATAAAAGGCCGAACAGCGGAAAAGCAAGAAATGCTTTGTTCTACAGAAAACAAACAAAAGGGAAATAATTAAAAAGTCCTACGGAATGAAATCTTTAACTAAAAAGATATGCAATACAATGACCTACGAAAGATGCATTCTGGTTTCAGTCATCCAGGTCTAAAAGTTATTTTAAAGGAGCTCAAACTAAGTAAACATATCCGTGCCACCTATTTGAGCCAAAACTCTATCGTGAAACCATTACTGATCAGGAACAATATCGATTTTTCTCATCAGAGTCGTATAGTCCTTCTGTCTAGTATAAACGTGTTCATGCGAGAAAGATTTTGCGAGATAACTACTGACAACTAACATGTTCCCATTGTGTTCGTGTTTGTTTCACACCGAAGTCCACACTTGTATTTCCGAAGTGCGTAACAACAACTACTTATCTGACCTATTTTGTACCTGACTTTGTTATCGTTGTTCTACAGGAGACACATGTATGTCAACTATTTCGATACCATCACACAGCTTAAACATTATACTACTAGCTGTAGGACCCTGAAATTCAACAAAGGCGCGCCCTTTTCTTTCTCTAAACAAGCACTATATCCCCACAAATGCTCTGCCCCTGCTGGAGATTTGGACAATTGTGGATATTGTGATGTAGCAGTTGAATTGAAGGGGCAAGTTCAGCTGGAAAGAAAAGCTAGAAAGACGTTTAGAGTCCAGAGAGACTGGGGACAGAGGTGTTGTAAATGTTTGCCAATCTCCTCCTAAAAACCATCCCTATGAAGAGAGCTTTACGACATTGCCAATGGATTTTTTGCAATGCTTTGCAGCTAAGGTCTATAATTATAATGTTAAAGTAAAATTATGGAGTCGCTCATTATTGTTACTCGAACTAAAACGACGCGACTTTACCATAGAGATCTGGAGAAATAACCCGAGCGGTAAATCTCAGCAAGTATTTGTCTGGTAGCCAGTTTCATCGACTTTTCATTCGTGCATCAACACAAAAATGCTTTGGCCTCATACCGATGGAACATCGACAGAAAATGAAACATAATCAGTAGTCGTCATACATCAACGAGACCAAACAACAGTTGTAGGCAACACTCAATGGCCCTTCAGTTTACCTCTAGGGCTAAAACCTCAGCAGGGCTAAAAAGGGAAACTGTGTAATAGCGTTACTGTCCCCTCATGGCCTAGATAAATTTAATTGGATGTAAGTCGGGCTGTTAAACTCGCTCGTATGAGCTGTGAACAGATTCAAGCAACAACAAAAATGGCCCTTCTTTTTACAGAGGTCTCTGCTAGTGCATAGCTGTAGAGCGTTAGCACAGGCAACCAGTACCCAGTTGTATCAATTAGACATCTTAGTCATAGAAATCCTAGAAGTTTGTTGCTCAAAATGTAAAGTTACATCATGGACAGATAACAGAAGTAATCTTTAATATATTGAGTGAATTTAATAATTTTGTTAGTCGGGGTACACGTGATTTTAAAAATAACTTTAACTACAATAGAGATGGCTAACTGTGTCCATTTCCGTGAAATTTGAGGGAGTGCAAAAAGATGAAACACTGTTATTGTTTTGAGATACGCTATGGCTATTCATGGCAAAAAGAACAACCTCTCACACACCAGTCGTATACAAAAAAGCTGTTTGCCGCATACGAAGACCTTTTTTTTAACACAAGCGTATATTAATACAGTATTGCATACACTGTTACACAAAAATACTATTACTTTATGCAATTATTTTCACGTGTTTCCACCTCTGAAATTTAAATCCCAAATCTCGACTAATACAGTATTTACGGACTTTTGCGTTTTGTTCGAATAATAATAATAATAAAAAGAAGAAGTGATGTCTCCATTGTCTTGCAGATAGTCTTACCACGTAAATTATGCCTCAAAAAGACTTTCAGAATAACCACTTTTTCAATTTCTGAATAACCACTCACCAAACGCTCATTGTAACCTTCAATAAATGGCACAGAAATTGCACAGAAAATGGGTGCATGATGCATGTAGTAGAAGACCCTGTCCAAATATGCATCGATTTATGTCAGAAACGTATTACCACACTGATAATAATATTCATCATTAGTTACATCCCAAGTACATTATTTAGTAACTTTAGTGCGTTCACAAAAAAATGTAATGTAATAAAAATTTAATAAACACGTAACTCCAAAATCAGCATTAACTATATCAAACAAATATATGGCTGTTTCCGTGACTACGACTCATTTAAGTGTAGCAGAGGCGCTTCAGCAAGCTGGAATTTTAGGGCAATCCAGCAACATCAAATTTATCTTGTGCAAAAATGACTTTAACATTTAGGTATTTTTGTCAAACATTTAATTATGGTTTTGTGATATAATTTATCTAGTTACTTTACTTTTTGTCAAGGAAAAAAGAGTGGAAAATATTTAGCGCACCCATTCGTTTTAAAAAAAAAAATTTTTTCAACAAATGCCACTTCAGTCACACGCCTTACATAATCTACCGAGATGTTTGCTTAATATTTGTCGATCAAACTGTTTCGCCGACCGTGAACGGAATGGCATTTATTGCGGAAACCAGATTTCTGCCCAATGGCTTGATGATGACAAGATAAAGGTATGTACTCACAACAAAGCCTCTAAAATCACACCGCATGACTGCTGTACTATTTTATTTGTATGCAACATTGCGATTTTAGATAACATGCTCAGGGTGTGCCTGAAAGCAGAGCATTCACTCTAGTGGTGTTTTTGGTATATATGGCCTTTTTAAAAGTATTAGAGGGTACCCTACCACATTAGCAAAAATCACAGTAAATATTTCCAGGACTTTACTCCGCAAACTGGTTTATACACGAATACCTGGATATTAATTGTGTAATCACTTTGAAGACTGATCCAGGTTTAAGATTCTTGCAAAAAGGGTTGACACATTAAAAACATTGTAAATGCTTATGTTCGCCCCGTCCACAAAATAATTAAGCGTACTTAAAATACTTTCCTTATGTATTAGACTACATCGCAAGTAAATGGCTATTTTTTGCAAAAGACTATTAAGTGGCTGATTTCTTATATGTGCGATATAAATTTGTTAAATGAACTGTTGCATTTATAAAATCAGTTGAAATGTTTATGCACACTCAACGCAATTATTACAAGAGATATTGTGTGATTCAGTGTAATATATGTTGTACTTTAACTTCATATTAATGCTTGAATTTTGTCTACACCAACGTTACTGGATACTTGGTTCCTATATATGGGACATACTAACTTGACCTTCAATTTGTAAGTTGCTCCCGCCCACTAAGACAGGGCTAACGCAAGGGGTGGGATCGGAAAGAAGGCCCTAAACATTGTATAAACAGTCAAACCAATTGTTTGCAAATTAAGTTATTTTCTTCCAAACTGAATACTTGGTTATGAAATACTTAGTTATGTAACATTCATTCATCAATTCGTTTTTTGTTTTCTTTCATGCGACAACTCGTTTTTCTTCTTTTTTGCTCAGGTAGGTTGTATATTGCAGATCAACGCATTACACTTTGGCTTTTGATTAGAATTAATGTACGTGTTCAGAACGCATTTATTGGTTTTGCGCTGTTCTGCACATGGCAAACATGTAACGGGCCTAATTTTTAATATATGTACCGTTTTTATATACAACTACACTTTTACGGTGTAGCCGCATATATTTTTTTTATAATTACTTAGCTTCACTACAAGGAGATAAGCTCTCATACTGGTTAAAGCAGGGATATATTTGCTATACAAATGTAAACATCATACAGTTTTTTCGTAATTTGACGTCGTGCCGTAGCTTTATAGAAAAATGTCCCATGGCTTTGAGAAACTAAAGACTTGTTAAAACGTTAAATACTTAAAATGTTTTATAATTCAAAAGAAAGATATATCGGCTCCTACCAAAAAACTGTAAAGAAGGATTTTTATTTGTATATTAAAGATTAGATAACTGATGAAAGTTGGCATTGCTGCGAGTGACAATTAAACGACGATACATAATTAAAGTTCATAAAGTGAGTAAATAAAAATAAAATAAACAAGAAAATAAAATACGTTTTTATTATTCCAAACCTCTTGTTTTTAAGTTAATAAGTTAACAATTCCAGGCAAATACCACATATAGGGAAAAAATCTCAATGCAAAAATGTTATCGTTCCAACAGAATAAGAAAGCTTATAATAAATATTAATATTTTAAGCAAGATAAATTACAAATTACAATACAATTAGCGAAGAATTTACCAGATTAGTTTTCTACATTAGCAATTTTTTTGCACAATATGACTAATAAATGTGCCAATAACGGTACGTTTTTAAGATAATTTTTTAATCACATGAAATAAGCCTGAAAGAACGTTATTTTTTCCAGTGCGGTTGCAATAATTCTAATTATTCGTCTGTTCGTCTTTTGTCAGGCCAAGTAAATGTTGATACGGTTTAAATACAAAAGCCAATACTGTTGCATAAGCTAAATATTGAAGTTACTAGCAGGTTAAGGCGAGCATATACACGTTTATATAGAGTGTTTATAAAACTATTCATTGTCAATAAATATTTCTGTCTCACTCTCTTAGTTACACGTAAACACTCTTTCACAGACGTACTGGACTCACAAACATGTGTGCAGTGCAAGCGACGCCAGAAGTTCGTTCTCCAGTCTCTACACGTCTATGATAGGAGCAGGGGAGATCTGGAGCACTTAGTCAATTCAAGTCAAGTCACCCTTATTTACATAGCGCTTTATACAATGCAAATTGTATCAAAGCACCTTTCCAGTATTAAATGGGGAAATAGTGTGTCGAAATAGTGTGTCTTTCTCCTCTGGCCAGACAAACCAGTTTAAATCTAGGCTGCAGCAGATTCAGATTGTGAACCACTTAGTGAACCACATGACTACACAAGTTTTGTGTGAAGGGCACTGAGGTGCGCAATGACCTCTGCGCCGGGGAGACGAGTCGTCATAAACAGATTTGGCCAGTCTCAAAGTCAAAAGCGCCGCAAGCACATAAAATGCCATTGTCACGATTCCAGCGCATTTGCTTGTAAGGAAGCCAATAGACTTGACACTAAGCTTCGGCTTTGGAACCATCTCTACCCTAAGATCCGCTTAATTTCGCAAAAAAATCATAATACGTTACATATTGGTTTGGTTTAACAATGTTTAACTCCTGATCAACATTAGATTACAAGTTGGTCCTAAAATTCAAGAAATTCCACTGCTTTTTTGTGAGTAATTTCAAGTAACCGCCCAGCAAAAATCTAAATCCTAGTAATCAAAAGGTAATCTTCGAACACTAGATATTTTTGCAATGAACTAGGAAAAGGCTGAAGCACTTTCCGCTTTCTTTACCTATCCACAGTTGCAAAACAGGCAAGAAAAGTATTACATTTCCTTGCAGTTAGTCCTCATGGGGCCCTGTTTCGGCGTCTGTTCTATTTATCCACTAGGTGGATGCCTTTACCATTTTCAACCACTGGATAAAGCATATCAATATTGTTGCACTACATTTGGCCATGCTGGCAAACATTCAGATAGCATTTTTAGTTTTCTCTTGAGTGTTTCAACAATGTTTTATTTAGTGATATTATACTGAAATAAGTAAGAGCCAATATGTTAAAAATAAGGATATTGCCAAGCGCAATAATGTAGCCTACATAAAATTCCTAATTACATTTTTCTAAAAACGGTAGTTTGAGTGCACGAGTTGGCTTTCCTGCTATTTAATGTAAAAATATGTTAACAAACATAACAGACTCAAATACTAACACTCATATGGTTTGCACAACACAGACATCAAGTAAAACGTAAATAAAAGTAAGTTTGAAGACTTTATTAATCAGAAACTGTAGGTTACACATATATGGATACATTCATGAACTTGTAACATTATTTACAAGACATTTTTAATCGCAAGGTACAAAGGAATGCGGCACTGGTGCATTCACAAAATTACACAGAACAACACAGAAAAATTATACATCAGAGACAATTTCACAAAACAATCCAAAGGGGGGAAACGTGACGATCATTGTTATATAGTTGCTGATGATGCCATTCATATAACTGTATTTGTATTTTTTATAGATTCACAAAAATAGGATTGAAAGAAAATGTCACTCGCCGAACTCAGACCAATAACAAAAAATAACGTAGCACCGACTTATGCCAAATTCGCTATAATAATAATAATATTAATAATAATAATAATAAAGTACAAACGAATAAGCTATATTTTATATGAAACCAACCTTTGACCACCTTCTTGTCCGTATCTTTTTAACATTATTTTCAGTTTTTTGATAAGGTGTTTTAAAATAAAACATGCGCCATGTTGACAAAAAAGTCGGAGAAACATTTGCTTTTTAACCTTCTAACTACAGTCATTATAATCATGCAGCAAATTTGAACTATTTCACTGGCATATAATTCTTGATCTGGGTAAATAATGTTTCAAATAACACAATGGGTCCCGCTAATTAGCAAAACAGGCTCGTTAACACTGGGATGTAAATCTGGTCTCTTCGGTATGATTGCTACTTCCATTACACTTATAAAATGACTTAATCTTTGTTTTAATTTATAATTGCGCGTCTTCTTAATATTACTTGACCATGCATTTCTCTCCCAGAAGCACTGTTGTTGTGAATTAATTTAGTAGACCTAAGCGAATATGTCCAAATAACGCAGATCAAGGGACAAGCAATCCTTAATGGGAAATTTATGCTGTTAAAATGCAAATATGACAGAGACATTTATAAAGTTTTTCACTATATCATGAATAAATATTGTATTAGCAGTTTGTGCGGCTTAGCTGCAGGCCTACCAATTTACACTTTGGCCAAAATCTAGTTGCACAAGTAATTTCCTAACATTTGTCAGAATGACATTTCACAGGCTAGATCAAAGTCTATTCATAAAAGCTGTTCTATAATTGCAGTTTGGTTCTCAAGGGCCCAAGATATGAGTTGGGTCACTAACTTTGTGCCCGTGACCGTGAACGTGCCATAGAACACGTGGCGATGACTGCGGAACTGAGATAACTTTGATGACTTAACGCTGCCCAAGCTTCTTATTGCCGAATATTGAGTTTGAACGGCCCTTTCTTATAACTGGCAAAATAAAAACATAGATGTGAGATTACGAACAGTTAAGGATTCTCAATATTACCAAGTTTGGCGCTTCAGTCTATTTTATTTTATTTTTTTCTAGCTTAGAACACTGATTATGGCACGAGTGTTATAATTTCAAAAATGGGTTTTAACACTCCGACAATAAATATTTATTGATCATTTCAGACCGATAAGAGAACATTTTCCTTGTCCGAAATGCCATCTCACAGCTTATATTTGTCTGAGTTTCTAACTAGCAGTTCATTACTTAATAAAGTGAGTAATGGCTTAGACAGCTTGTTACTTTCAAAACTTAAACTAAAACATTCTCAGCGTGTACATGCCCAAAACTGCTGGACACGAACCTTCTTAAATAAACACCAGACCACATAGTATCAGCAGACTTCTGGAGCTATCATTTGGTCGCGTACCCCTATTATGTTTGAATTCTTATTCGTGATTCCTGAATGCGTCGTAGGGCAAGACTTTCAGAGGAAAATGGGCCAATGGTAGATTACCATTAACTAAATACTGTTGTTTGATTACCATTAAGCAATGTATATTTTGTGCCTCCTTAAAAGAAGGACAAAGCCTGCTCCCTTAGCAACAGTCTCTTTTTCTTCATCCGCCGATTTTGGAACCAAATCTTAACCTGTTGGTCGCTGAGACTGAGCCTGTCAGACAGCTCCCTACGTCGCTGCCGGGTGATGAACTCGTTCAGCATGAACTCTCCCTCAAGCTCGGCCAGCTGCAGTTTGGAATAGGGCTTTCGCTTCTTGCGGGTCCGGGTGTGCATCGGGTACCACGGGGCACCTAGAGGAGGCAAAGCACGGGTTCATGAGAGAGCTGCAAAAAAAATCTCCTAGGCCAGCACATCAAAATCTCTCAGCATCTCGATGCCACGTAAAATACTAATTTTTGGTGCATTTTGTGAGGCTGTTAACATGACAATTAGACGTGATTCCATGACAATCTGAAGTGTCATGCAAACTGTCTATGTGATGAATTTATCTGTTTACATAGAAGAAAGCCTTAGAGGATTTTACTGTTCTAGTTAAATGTACATTAACGCGATAATTGTCCTGTTTGCAAGAACCCTACCTATTTAGCGGTTTCAAGGCATATTAAATGACTTCTTGCTGCACGACAACGATATTAATTCAGTTTACGAGTCATTAAAAAACGTCCCCTTTTTCTGTCAAAGCAACTGCCATTTTACAAATCTGTCCTACTTGCTAAAATAACGCGAGGGCTTTGGCAAAACGTACATTTAACAACAATAACTATGCATTTTATGTAAACGGCGTCAAACATTGGCAATGGGATTGTTGAATTTTATGATGTTGTGTTTACTGGTTGTATAAATGACTGAGCGCTTAAACTGGTGAACGTGGAGCATTTTAGGGCAACCCCTAGTGGCCTTGAACAACCACGCAAGAACCATGCAGGAAAATCATAACAGTAGTCAGTGAATGCCAAAATAAACGGTCATGCAAAAAAAATGTGCTGGAGCAAGATATGAGTAATTGTACTATTTGCTTCTGTTGTCTTTCAGCTGTGATTAAATGCGAGGGACAAACCTCCTCCACTGGCGATATTGCTTGCGTGGTTTCCTTGCGATAGCAGGGTTTGTGGGTCGCCTGCTGAAGCCTTTCCTCCTTCGTTTAGCATTGAAGAACTGGAGTCGGACTCCAAAGACTGACAGGATGGCGGGTCTTGGGTCAGATGCTCGGTGCCATAATCATACTTGGAGAAGGTGCCACTGTTGCCCATCCCATTGTGCATCCCGTGATCAGACGATACTGATGTATCTCTTGCTCGCTCCTCTCGTTTGAGGTTGTTGCTGTCTGAACACGGCTCTCTGGTGCTGCTGGAATTGCCATAATAACACTTGCTTTCCTCCAGTCGGGTTATTTCACAAGATCGATTAAAAGAGGGGTTAATGGATACGGGACTGCTAAAGTAAGACTGAGGATATCCATTGCACGACTCCGATGGATTCCACGGGAGAGAGCAAACATTGTCCCTTCTAGGGTACGAGAGAGACGGTAGCCCCGCCAGCTGTCCCCCTGAGGCTCTAAAATTCGGGAAGTAAAACCTATCTCCAGTGTGGATGTTTACCAAAGGTCCCACAAACCCAGGATTAAGAAGATTATGCTCGCCCATTTCCGCGGGCCAGACCAACAGCTTCTAGTTTATTGCAATCTGACATTTAACGTAGTTAAACCTGGAGGTGCACCTGATTGGTCATCTCCACGTCACGTGCCGGAGCTTATTCGAACACTAGAAGGTACCACCCACTTGGTCCATTTCAGACAAAACAAAATACTAACTTCTGTATTACGGGTTTTATATGCTTTTTAAAAATACTATAAAATATCTTATTAAAAATGTAAAATCTTGTTTTTCTTTTCCCATAGCTCAAAGGTTCTAAACTGATCGTCTTTCACTTTCCTGTTTAGAAATATAGAGAAGTGTCCCTAGCCTCGTTTAATCTTTATTACCTGGCAAAAAAATAACTAAATAAAATAAAAATACGAAATAAGAATTTTTTTTTCTCATTGAAGGTGAGGGTTCTTTCGACATTGTTTTCAAACAAATTACGGTTGAATTCAGTGTCATATAAAGATGTGATGTTCATCTTTTACAGGCTTGTTTTAAAGAAATACTGATGCTCAGTGCTGAACTCCACTCATATTTACTGTAGTGGGGTCAGCAGGTTGAAACCATTGGCTCCGTAAAAGAAGATGATATTCTATAAGATTTTTTTAAGACCGTAGCCTATAGTTTAGATAATATGCTCTAGTACACCTCACATGAACAACTTTAACAGATACATCCTATAAATACTCGCAGTCAAACTCATGGCGGATTGTTACACATCTCGCAATTCTTTTATTTGAATTTTACAAGCTGGCAGAGGGCATTAAAATGATTCTGCCGCTCCAAATACACCACACTAGATCAGATTAATTGATTTTTGATTGTAAATATATAAAGTACACGCAATTTTTCCTCATATCAACTGCAACGAAGTGCCATTGTCACGTGTATATTATATTAAGAACATAATGAAGCGGTGAAATAAAGATTAGTATGACAAAAGGACAATAATAACAATACGCACTAAACCCTTTGTCTCACATTGGAGTGTGTTAAGTTATTATGCCTATTCAGTGTTAGTCTAATCTTTTGGACCTTACGTTTTTTTAAATAGTATATTCCCCTGTGTATTAATTATAAATAAATGTTATAAATAAAATTATTTTTTTAACGTTATTTTTTAATCTTTGTGTATTTAGTGTCACAAAGGATTGTTTTGAATTATATCCTTTTTATCTCAAATCTGAATTGCGATTAACCATTACAAGTTAAAGGTTTTCAGATGTGGATACAGCTGTCATATAAAAATAAACAGACTGATGTCTATTCCTTCATAACTTTTTTAACAACTGGTTTGTTTACGCGTTTGCGTAGCCACTTGAGCAAATGTTCATGCTGACATATATTTATAACTGAGCAAATTATATTTGCATTCTTCGTTCACTTTAATAATTTACATTTCCCTTATTTATTGCAGGAGTCTTTGAGCAGCACAGTAACTTTGCGTTTGCTGCCAATCTAAAGCTTGTGTCAGTGTAGAGGCGTGATCGTAATTATGATCGTGGCCAACTTATTTATTTTTGTTTCATCTACTTTGAAATAAACCGACAAAAATAACCACAAACAGCTTCATTAATGGCGATGGGTATCTAGGCTATAAATACAAAGATACTGCCTAAGGAAATCCGGTGTTCAACTCATTACAAATATTGACTTAACACCTATAACAGAAACTCAAAACAACTAAAAGACTACAAATGCTGTCCCCTAAATTGCCCAAGAATTATTACATTAAAATTTTAGGCACACATGTGCATGTTTTACGGCTAGAGTACTTCATACCAGATTCATGTAACCAATTAACATGCTATGCAACACTCCGTGTATATAAATTTTAAATGCTTTCAGATATTTTACTGAAATATCAGGACATTTTTGTGTTAAATGTAATCACCAAATATGAAGCTACAGAGACCAGAAATTTAGTTACTTTGAGAAAACACTTATGCTAATTAATACACTAGTCAGTTGTTCGTTATTTCTGATTAGTTGTAGTGAGAATATTTTATTATTTCCCCCAAGAGCACAACAGAGAGTAAAACAAGTTGTTGAGAGAGTTCCTGGTTCTCCCTGGGAACATTTCAACAACTTAATTCGGTCACAAAAAATATTCCCCTCAAACAACCTGTCTCAAACAATATCGCTTAAGAGTCACAGTAAAAATATTACATTTTCTTACCGCTAGGATGGCCAAAGTTAAAATCTCCAAAATCTCTGGAAAATGGCTAAAATATTTGTTAGTTCAAGGTCAGTGTCTAGTGCACTGTCTGCGCCGCTCTGAGATTGCTGTCTTGGAATCTCTTTTCCGTCCAGACAGGGCCATAGCGTAAACAAAGGCCTTTTTATTGTCTTTCATTTTGGAAGACAGGTTGGCTCACTGAAAGCCTTGCTGTGAAAGTCCTCCAAAGCCAATTTCTTAAAGGGAAAAAACGTGCATTAAATGTGAATTAAATGCAAAATTCCAGGTGTCCAATACTTGAACTCAATTTAAAGAAAGGAAAGTTTGATGATAGTTGGATAGCGCAAAAGACATTAAAACTAATAATAGTAATGCTCACCACAATAATAGTAAATTTAAATAATGACAGTTTAATTCAATCGCAATTTTACATACGTATAGAGAAATAAACACGCGACTGCTACGAATCTTCCAGAAATAGTGTGAATGAACACACAAATGTAAGTGCTTGTGTTGGCATTGTTGCATAATTATGAGTTTTACTACAATTACGTTTGCTTAAAATTTTACTGCAATTAAGTTTGATTAAATTAAGTCAATATAAATTGAGTGTAAAGAAAAAGACAACGTTAAAGTGATTAAACAAATTAATGTTTGAGAAAAACACTTAACATACAGCGTTTGAAAATTGCAAACCTGAACCCAGTTTTTGCCTTTTTTCTGTGTTTATTAGTTTGTTTATTTATTTATTATTTTATTTTTCAGGGACTATGCAATTTTATACTTCGAGCTGGGAATATTAGAAGTTACAAAATAGAGAGAGAAAAGAAAAACATTAAGAAACGACAAACCTGGGTCATATTTTAAGAGATGCATTTACAATATCTATATCAAATATTATATAGCATATATATCAAATAATAAATATATATTATATACAGTTGGGAATTCAATCAGTAGGCTATATTTCACTGTATTTCAATGAACAACATCCTAACTATTCAATTCAATGTGTGTCCGGTATTCTTACCATGTCTTTCCATGAACACTAGCAAATTCTTCAAATATATACTTTAAGCTACATATTAGTAGTTTATTAGTTACCTTCATCTTAGATTAAACACACATATCCTATAAGAGGACGTGCGCCAGATACAAATTGTCTACATAAAGACCGGTGCAAAGCATGTGTCTTCGTGCTGAATCTACACTGCTTACTTCCTGATATTTCCACCATACGCCACCAGAGGTTATCAGCCCCTTTCTTCTCAACCCACGGATCTCTCTCCTCGCATTCCATCTGGTCTGTTTAGAAACGGTGAATAAAAAAGCTGGTGTGTTTGGCTGAACAGGCTTTACGCATTAAACATCTATTATTTAAGCAGCACATTGATCGAAACCCTATAGTTCTGAAAAGCGTTTATTTCTATATTTATTGTTCTCAGATTCCAGCATGAATAACTTAGAGAAACGCGCCACCAGAAATTAACTTGCTTTAAAAATGCGTATACGTTTGCATTTTTTTTTTTATGTATACGCATGTGTTTAAATCAATTTCAGTAATCTAAGAGAATGTGTTTAGGGGCTTATTAGTGCAACATTGTTTTTTTTTTTGAGTTTACAATTTAATAAACTAATGCAGTGATACCCAGTAATAATTGTTACACGACAAAAATTAGCAAATTTACGTATTCGACTTCTATATTACAATACCACCACTTGTCCCATGCAAAACCAGAAAGTAATATTAATAGCTATAGTCAAAACCATAAAACTATTTATATAATATTAATATTAGTAAAATAGTGCGACACAAAACAAAGCTATCAACATAGGTTTGAACTAAACAACTTACAGCTAATAATGAGAAATACTGTCTTTTAATCTAGTTAATAATTTGTAGTCTGACTTTAGAAATCCAACAATTTAATTACTTCTATTTACTTTTTTGCAGAGAGCATAAAATGATGAAATTTTTACATTATGCAATAAATGAACGAAAATAAGGGCATTGGGAAAATCCTAAAGGGTGTTAGGTGGAAAAAAAACATTGCGAAGACGGTCTCTTTTCTCTTTCCTGCGCATTGCTCATAATAGATCTATGCATATATTGAATAGGCCTTGCGGCTAACCAGACATAGAAAATGTTAGCTTGACAGAACAAGTGCATCAATATCAATGCACACATTTATATATTCATAAATTATCTAAAACACCAAGGCATTGTGCATATTCACTACAAATAAAAAAATAACTAGCCATACCTTTTGACGTGACCATGGATGCATCTCTTAATATTTGGGAAGAAGTACCCATCTTTTCTCGGCACGCCTATGGAAATAACACAAGATGTCATCTCTGTGAACACGGTCTTTTGCAGACGTAGCTAAATGCACTACCTGCCTTCGTGGTCAATATAACCTACACCTCATGATGAGAGAATACAATCATTGGTGGTTTAAAACTTATACGGGCAAGGGTTCGCGGAAGAGGAAAAGCGGAGTGTTCAATGGTACGAGAAGTAAAAAAGAAAACGGTTGTACACAGTGTACATTTTCACAATGACAAGGATATTGGATAATAAGAGCATTTTCCTTTTTTATGTATTTATGGTATGTCATTAACTCTCGCCGTCTAGACAGGGAAATAACACCTTGTTTGCTTGAAAACAAACCACGAGCAGTGGTGTCCAGCCCCTCTGTTTATTATTCACAAGACTCTGTGATGTCAAGGTCAAAGCGACTGCATAGTCATGGTCAAGGGTAACGCGAGATCACGTGACGGTAAAACAAGAGCTGTTACAACAACTATCATGCAGTTAACACAAAATTTCTCACTCCTCAAAGTAACCAACTTCTGCACAACACTGATAGTTGACTGATGGCAAAAAGTTTTAGCAGTAACCGGGTGTGTGCCTCATACG